ACATACACATGTCTTCATGCAGGTGTGTTTATGATCATATGTGTGTGGAGAAAGCATCGAAGATCAGGTAGGTTATTAACACTGACTCCCTGAGGGCTGGAAAGGTTTGCTGCAGCGTGCATACGTGTGTGTGTGTGTGTCTGTAGACCTGCCCATTTTAGAAGTCCGTGGTTAAAAGAAATTGTTTGTATGATATGATCCCGTTATCACAAAATGATCCCTCTCTCTGTGGTTATCCACACATGTGTCAAAAGAGATTATGGACAATATGATCACCGAATTGTTTTAATAAGAGACCACATACTGTATGATTCCACTTATACGAAATGCCCCCAAGAAAGGTAAATCTACAGAGACAGAAAGTAGATTAGTGGTTGCCCAGGGCGAGGGGTGGAATGGGGATTAACAGTAAATGGGATGACAAAAATATTCCGAAACTGGGTCATGGCGATGGTTACCCAACTCAGTAAATTTCCTAAAATGTCATTGAATCATATGCTTGAAATAAGCTGCATCCAGCTCTAAGTTATTTAGCAACCCTGTGCCTCCTACCACACAACACAGACGTGCGGGCGTCCAGTCTGCGACCCCTGGCTTACCTAACAGGGCCGTCGGGGGGTTACCTGACGCAGAGTGAAGTCCTTTCCGTGTGTGGGCTTCCAGGCCAAGTCCTTCACTTAGCTAATGAAGCTCCTTAATCCTCACAGTGACCTTCTGACCGAGGTGCTGTGACGGTCCCCATGTCCCTAAGGAGGAGACCCAAGGCTGCGTGGCTGGGAAGTGGCCAAGCCAGGAAGAACTTGCTGGAGGCAACTCTCCATAAGAGTCTGGCGTTTCTCTGCATCCTACCAGCAGAGACTCGACGGCCTTTGTCTGAGTGATCTTTGCGAGGGCGTCCACGCAGAGAGCTGCTGAGCTCCCCGCTGGAGCAAAGGGCCGGTAGGCCTCTGGTCCAATGGAACAGACACCGTCTGTCTCCGGGAGAAGAGGAGGCAGGCTCTCTGCCTGTCCTCGTCACCGCAGGCTGCTGTAACCAAACACCACAGATTGGCGGGGGGGCGCTTAAACAACACTTCTTTCTCATGGTGCTGGAGGCTGGGAAGTCTGAGTTCAAGGCGCCGGCATGGCCAGGTTTTGGTAAAAGCCCCTTCCTGGCTCTCAGATGGCCGCCTTCTTGCTGTGTCCTTACATGGCGGAGAGAGGACAAACTCTTGTCCCTCCCTCTTTTGAGAACTCTAACCCTATCACCCTCACGATGTCATCGAAACCTAACCCCCCCAAAGGCCCCGCCCCCATACCATCTCATGGGGGAGGTCAGAGCTTCAGCACAGGAATTGCAGGGAGACAAACATTCAGTTCTCCACATCGCCTGTAATAAAAGGCTCGGCGTCTCTTAGCCTGGGGCTCCTTCTCTGCAGCCCAGCCTGCTGCACGTGGCGGGTGTTGCTGGGCCCCCGGCGTGACCCTGTGGGAGCTGGAGCTTAGGTGCAGGAAGATGGAGATGCCCCTTCGCCCTTCGTCTCTGATCCAGGAGTCTCGCGTCTCCTGCCAGCAAACTGCGACAGGCTGATCTGTTAACCCGCACGTAGGGCGGGATCTCAGAGCCTCAGAGTACCTTACAGGACTCGGGTCTGTCCAAATCCCAGACCTCGCGGGCCTAACTAGGTTGTCAAACTTATTTGAATAAAACTTGCATCATAGTCTCCTAAAACACTTTCAATATAGATAGAGTTTGTAGTGATGTCATGTCTCCCATTCGTGACATTCTAATTATGTCTTATATCCTTGTTGGATTATGGATTTAATTAATCTCCCAAAAAACCCAACATTTGGTATGATTTAACTTGTCTATTTTTGGTTTTCTTTTTCCTTCAATTTCCACTCTGATCATTCGTCTATTTTCTTCCCCTGCTCATATTCTGTTTTATTGCCGTTTTTAATTTCTCAAGGTAGACCTCTCTTCCTTTTTAAGGTAGGGCTTACTGTTGCAAATTATCTTCTATTAAATACCTTCAGAACATTCCACAAATATTAATACGTTGCATTTTTAGTTTCATTCAGTTCAAAAATAATTTTCAATTTCTCTTAAAATGTCTTCTTTGATTCATATGCTACTTAGAGCTGTGCTATGTGAGGTTTCAAATATTTAAGGCTATCCCAGCTTTCTGTCGTGGATTACTTGGAATTTAATTTTATTGTAGGAAATAGGGCTTGCATAACTTTAATCCCTCTGTATTCGCTGAGACATATTTGCTGCTGGGGTGGGGTCTGAGGTGGAGTGGGCAATAAATGTCAACTGGATTAAAAAAGCACTTATTATGTGCCAGCTCCTTCTCCTTTCTTCCCGTCTGCGGCATCCCCAGCTGCACCACGCTGGCTCTTGGAGCATCGTTCACCGCGTCAGTCCACGAACCGCAGGCTGAGTCTGGGTACCAGGGATGGAGTTTGCGAATGCCAAACCCGCCCGCTCGGACATCCTTACTGGGCAGGCTTCTGCTGACTCGAGACTTCACACCGTTGTGCCAACAGCCAGGGGTGTCGACTCGGAAGTCATTGCAGGGGGCCATTTTCAGTCTGAAGACATTTCTTTCCCTCAAGAAACTGATTCCCTTCCTGGAAATACCCATCATGGGCTCCACCTCAAATCCGTTTTAAGAGCAGCGACGCAGAGTTACACACACAACGGGAGCGAAGTCGCCTCTGGGCTCTGGCAGGGAACCAGGCGGACTCTCCACTCCTCCAGGGGAGTCATCAGTGCTGGGGCGTCCTTTCCGAGGGTCACCCCTATCAAGGGCCCTGGCCCTCAGAGGGAGACTGCAGACCAGTAATAAAGGCCAGTGATCCAAGAGGACCTGGGATGTGACTACGGCTGAGGGGAGGGGAGACTCCAGACCCAAACCAACTGCTTCCTGCCTCCCCCTCCCTCTCCCCCCAAAGTTACTTCCCAGCCAGAATCAGAGGGGAAATCCCTCAGAGCAGGCTCTCCATGGGGGTGACGCTGCCCCCGAGGGGACATTCGGTCACGCCTGCAGACACTCCTGTTGGTCACAGCTCGGAGTGCTGCGGGCATACATGGGGTGGAACCAGGGATGCTTCTAAACGACCCCCAAGGCCCAGGACACCCCCACAACAGCCAACTATCCGGCACAAGGTACTAAGAGCACGGGGGTTGCACACTCCTGCCTCAGGGCTTAGAGCCTTGCAGCCCGATACCGCAGACACGAGCCACGTGTGGCTCTGGAGCCCGTGAAGTGGGGCTGCGACCGAGGTGCGCTCTGAGTGTAAAACACACACTGGGTTTGAAAGACTTGGTACGCTCAACGTGAGCTGGCCTATGAATGACTTTCATATGTCTACATATTGAAATGATAATATCTTCCCAGGCTTTTTTCGAGCTGTTCTTTTGTTTGCTTATTGGCTTGTTTGTTTTGAGGGGGAGGTAATTGGGTTTATTTATTAACGGAGGTCCTGGGGATGGAACCCAGGACCTCGTGCAAGCTAGGCATGCACTCTACCACTGAGCTAGACCCTCCGTCTGAAATAATATTTTTAATACAAGTGGTTAAACACATGCACTTTAGAAATCAGATTCACTTGTTTTCTTTTTATGTGTTTCGAACATGACCACTAGAGAAGTTAAGTTCCAGACATGGCTCACATTGTATTTCTATTGGACAGAGCAGTTTAGAACTTTATCCCCGCTCCCCGGCCCGCCCCACCCTCCCTCGGGCTTCTGGGGTCTTCTGGAAAGCACTCTGGTCTCAGGGAGGCCATCAGCCCCTACATCACTTCTGGGTGACTGAGAAACAAAGCACGTCTTCCTTAAAACACTGGCTCTTTACTGCCTCCTACTGGAAGGTGGCCAAAGCAATGCTGACCGCGCGAGTGTCGCCGTGTGCTGCTGGCGCCACGGGCGGCGGACGGTCTCGGCAAAGCGGGGCTGCCGCTTGTCCCTGCTGGGGGCAGGGCTTCCCGCCCCAGCCTCCCCATCCGTGGGCTGCAAGGTTCTCCTCCACTCAACGTGTTGCTTTTAGCGTCAGAGAATAGTCTCTGTTTGCTCTATGTCAGACTCGATTTGAGGGGTGAAAAAAGTATTATCTGGATGTTTCCTTTGGGATACTGAAGTTTTTTTCTGCATATGTGTCTACTGCTTTCAAGAAATATAGAGAAATGCCCAACGCTTTGTTTCTGGCTTGTAAGAACCCTCACTGTCTTATTCTTTGAGCAAGTATTGTGGGTGGTGAGAAAGACCAAGAATTAGGGTCCTCCCCTCAAGACACATAGCCTCTAGAACGAGGATTTCCTAGGCACGCTTTTCCTCGGAAGGGCCAAATGGTGACTATTTTAGACTCACAAGCCATATGGTCTCTGTGGAAACCAGTCAACAGCAGCCACAGACAACATGGAAACAGATCTGAGTGCTCACGTTCCAACAGAACTTTATGTACAAAGCAGGTGGCGGGCTGAATTTGGCCCAAGGTTCATAATTTGCCCAATAGATAAAATAGTGTTTTCAATGGCTGCCCCGTGGACCAGACCCATGCTGCAGGTGGATTCTGCATTTTATTTTTTGCCCACTGCAGTTTTTTTTTTAATTGTGTTTGGTTGCCAACACTGAAAAATAAGGTGACTTTTACATAAGATGTGAATTTACAGCATGTCTTGAAGACACAGGATTCCTGAACTCATGGTTGCACGCGGCCGCACCTGGCAGGAGTTGACTGTTGGTGTCCTCCGATTTACCAGTCCACCCACCTAAATCCCCTGCTGGGTTACTGCAGGTATTTGGGGTTTGACGCATGGTCCAGTGCACGCTGGACGAAAACTAGGTTGGTGTGCCATTAAATTAAGAGATGGAAATGGCAAAGTCTGGGGAAATCCACCAGAGGTGTTGTGTCTATAAACCAACCCATAGAACCTCTTATTTCACCAGGCTAAACTTTCTTAGTTGGATGGGCTTTCCCTCAGTTCAGTCCAGATGGCGAATAGGAATCACTTACTTTGATGACATCCTCGTCCGTGGACTTGCATTCCACGGACTCCGAGATATCCGTCACGGCGCCGTTCTCCTCCACGGAGACCACCTTGACGGGCATGGCGACAGCCTTCCCTGTGAGGATGGCGGTGTTCAGAATCTCAGTGTCCTGCCGGAAGAGCCAGACACAGCTGGGTCAGGGGAGCTGCTCGGTTCTCTCAGACACTCGGGAAGACTTCAAAGGCATGCGCCAAGCTGTCCTTGTTCAGGCAAGACACACCAGCACTTACCTTAGGAGCCTGGGCTAAAGGATCATTCCTTCACCATTTCCCAAGAACATCCCACAACTGACTTTCAGTTTATTTATGATTGTCTTCCTAGTTTTCAAAATCAAAAAATATTTATTCTTTTTCTCTATTGCAGAGATCACACAAAAGTTGCACACAGTTAAGTTTTGGTTGTAAGCAAGAGAAATGGACTGTGGCGCGTTTAAGCAGGAAGGGGCGGTGGGAGGTGGAACACGGCACCTCCCCATTAAGATGCCCAAGTTCTCATCTCCAGACCCTCCAGGGCATCTTTCACCTGACGTGATAAAAGGGACTTTGCTCTTGTGGTTAAGGGAAGGATCCTGCGATGGAGAGATTCTCCTGGATTACCTGGGGTGAACCCAACGTAACCATAGAGTTTTTTTTTTTTCAATAGTTGATTCATGGCTCAGCACATACTTGCTAAGGGCCAACTACATGCAAGGTTTTGCTTTGAGGACTAGAGGTTCAACAAAGAACACAGCTGGTAAAATTCCCCGCCCACATGAAATATCTACTCTACTGAAGAGCTGTAACCATTTCCTCGTTTCTAATTCATATCATGACCCAACGTCACCTGGCTTCCGTCTCCACCCTCCTTTGTAAACTGCTCTCACCAAGGTCACCAATGATCTCCTTGTAAATCTTAGTCCTCATCTGATTCGATGCGTGTTTTGCAGCATTTGAGATGATGATGACCTGTTCTCAAAACCCCAGCCCTGCAGACGGTGTCTGTCCCTTGATTACAAACATTTAACGGCTACGGATTCCATTTAGGGTAACATTCTAAATCCCCTGCAGCCGATCATGCCCTTACTGATGCCTCTCCTACTTTCCTCTCCAGCCTCGACGCTCACCTCCTTCCTCGCCTTGGTCTGCCATTTTGGTTTCGACCGTCCTGATCTCTGCACAATCCACTGGAAGTACCACACAGTCCTTCTCCCTTCTTCAGTTGGCTCACCCCTGCTCACTCTGCGGGCCTCAGCTTTGGCATCCTTTTGTCTGGGAGCCCTGAGCTTCCAATCTTTAATTCTGAGTCAACCACAAGACTTATAAAAGGTATCCATGGGGGTTGGATGAAGAGAAGGAGATGTGGTGATGGAGGCAGAGATCAGAGTGATGTGGTCACGACCCAGGAGATGTGGGCGGCCTCAAAAGGCTGGAAAAGGAACAGGCTCACTCCCAGAGCCTCCAGCAGGAAGACAGCCACGTGGACACCTTCACTGTAGCCCCAGAAGAATCATTTCTGACTCCTGACTTCCAGAAGCACATTATAGTGCATCCGCATTCACTTGCCACAGCAGCAACGAGAAATTCACACAGATTCTTACAGGGCTACCGTCCTGGGCTTCTAAGGGGATCAAAGGAAAAGCTGAAGAAGCTTCTGGAAAGGCCGGGCAGCCTCTCTAGGGTGAAGTGGAGTGAGTGGCTTCAACCGTCTCCATCCTTAAGTGACTCTGCTTAAGATTTAAATTTTCTGGAGAGAGAGTCTCATTGGTTTCATCACGGTACCCTACTCTTTACCCCAGAGAGGATGGGGCCACCTTGACTGACATGCCTACCAAGACTGATTCCAACTGGGAAAAGGTAGTGTTGAAAAAAAATCAGAACCGTGTTATCAGAAGAAGACAGAATGGATGACGTCCCATCAGACAAGCAATGAGAGACACTCCCCACAGGACCAATGAGTCGGGTGATTTTTACCCCCACATGCCCATGGTCACTACACCTTGGCACCGGGCACCAGACCACCGGGCTTCGTTCTGTGCGGCTCCGTGGTGGCCCATCCCGTCACAACTCCGGGGACTGTGGTTTATCCTGTCTGCGTTGACTTCCCGCAAGACGACTTGGCATCGCATCTCTCATGCACGTTGCGATTTGCAAAGTGATGACGAAAACGCCTTCTCTTTTGAGTCTGTAGGCACCCCCTGCTTGCATTTCTGTAAGTCTTTTCTGTACGGTCGAATGAAGATGAAGGAGGGCCTGTGGCTTTGGGACACCCATCGGCACCTTTTACCTTTGGGTCAATCTCTCCCCCAAGTCCCTCTCCAGAAACGTGGCTCCACTTTAAAGCAAGAGATGCAAGGCAAGAGATTTTCTCAGTTCTTCCTCCGGGGAAGCAGTTGACACAGAAATGACCTTCTGCATTAAACAAGAGCGCAGCTGAAAGAGTCATCAGTCATCCAGAGAGTCCCAGCCTCCCTCTGATGTTGGTGCCCATCAGCCAGCCGTTAAATAACCCTCTGCCACGTCTCCTCTTGGGTTCACAGGATTCCTGGAGCCGGAGCTGCAGTCCGGCCAGCTCGCACGCTGGTTATTACAGATGCTAAGAATACCGCAGAAATTCCCAAGTCCATTTTCAGGTTCATTACAGGTAATGCGCTCGGAGTTCAGTCTTACATTTTCCTTCTCAGAATGGTCTTTGGCTAACGGCTTCATTAAAGCAGCAACCTCCCTCGGGGATTAATTGTGATTAGCTTTCTAATGGTTGCTGCAGTGTTTCACACACACACGCGCGCGTGTGCATGCATGCACACACACATGCACACACACACACACACCCTCCTCTAACACTTCCTATCCCTAAACTGAATTACATCAAGATTAAGACTGGTGGGACATCAGGTATTTTTCAATGACCAGGATCAATTTCAAGAGCAGAAATTAATGCCATAGAAACGCCCAGTGGAGGAGGAAGGCATTGGTCTTCCGGATAACCCAGCTAAGCAGAGGGACAAAGGTCCCCGTGTTTAAGAATTCCTTTCCTAGCAAAATACCATATGCGATTGCTCATATGTGGACTCTAAAAAAGAAAAGAAAAAACAAATGAAC